GACAGAGTTGTTATTGTGTTTAGTTTAAACTAAGTGTTGAGCAAAGAAAAATATTTCACCAAATAGCTGCAGGCTCCACCAATTATCAATTAAAATTTAAGATTCCAAATGGCCACACATCAGCCACGTTTGACTTGCATTTCATTGAATTATGATGATGATCCGCATTAAAATTCGTGCTCTCGATTTAATTCTCAATCGCATAACTTGACGATGAAATCTGTTTTTTAATCAACAGTATAATTAATTGTTATTTCCACGATCCACGATCAAATCGACATTCGAGCCAAAAAATTGTACACGTTTAATTATTTCCTCGCTTCCGAGTCCCAATGCAGCGTCAAGCCATTAGGAAATCGATGCCCCTCCTCCCAACCTATACGAGCCAACAGGCCAAATCGGACGTGCGTGGGAGAAAGATCTCCTCCGAGTCTCCCGCTCACGTAGCCCCGGCGTCGAAAGGCCGCTGCTGCAAACGTATCTCTTTATTTCGTGCACGTAGTCCCGTTTAATTTGTAGGTACGGGGTGCAACTCGCATATCCTATACGCCAATCCTATGAATACACCCACCCCCGCGTCCGTGGAGGAGCAGAGCGTGCATCCCACCCTCGATCGGGGCGAAAGCTGATGACGGTATAACGAGATTGCGGCTGGGGTAAATACCGGCAATTACGACGTAACCGGAAACTTTTGACGTCGCGCGGGTATTACAGGGAGGAGGCGCCGATTCGCGCCGCTGGAGAAACGCGTGCGATTGTCGCGGCGGCAACGGAAAAAAAGTTTCGCGAGCAAAGTTTTCCCATAAAGTGGTCGAGATTTTTTCTTTTCCTTCCGCACTCCCGTGGTCTCTGTTTCGTTGCTGCCCGCGAATTAATGGCAAACACGCTGATAATTCATCCCCTCCCTCCCTTTTTTACTTCTCGTTTCGCGGGGGTCCGGATTGGCCGATAAATCGCGTGCGCGAGTAATTTTTGTTTCGTTTGTAAAACTGCGCTCCTGCCTCCGTGCTGTCGTGCGTCCATGTACCGTGTACAGGGTTGCTGGAAATTTTTAGTCGATGACTCGAAAAAAAAAAAAAAAGCTCATCGAAACAGCTCTGCGTTGATTGTTTTCGTTGGAAAGTCCGTTTGATGATCCTTTTAATTATGGGTTTCGTTAAATGGAACGAGAGTGTGGTTTTTTCATTTCGCCTTTTTTTCTTTTTTTGCGAGTTGTTGGCTGTCGTCTAACTTTCCAACGCGATGACAACAACGGCCACAATAAAATTTTAAATTGCGCCGTTTCAGACTGGCATTTAAACCAGTTCCGTTTTATACGTGTTATATCCAGCTCGCAATCACGCCCGGAGAATAGGTGGGAATTTTCCTTTATTGTTACCGCTACTGTGTGGCAATTTCTTTTTCGGCAGAACAGGTTTTTTTTTGTTCATAGGTTTTGACAAAAAAAAACTAAAACTCCAAAAACTCAGTTGTACTGCAAAACTGCAAATTCAGAGAAATTTCAATTTTCTCGAAACGTTTTGGTCCAACTAAAAGTATCATATTATGTTTGGATTTTATCTTACGTAAACAAACTTCTTATTTCAATGCCTCATTAACGTTGTAAACAATGTTAAATAATCCACGGAATCGGTAATAATAATCCCAAGGTTCTTTGCGCTTTCATGAAACAACAGTTGCAGCAACAACTACGGCAAACAAGTGGGTACATTTGGGTGTACGGGGCGCGTAACAAGCGAACAAACAATTCATTAAAAAGTAACCGAGCGGGGCATGAATCTTTAAATAATGAAATTTTCCCACTCCGCGTGTTTGTGAAATCTGCTCCTCTGGTGTACGTAGGTATATATTCACACGGGTACACCGACTCGGCAAAAGTTTGGTGGGGGTGGGGGTGATGGTACGGTATACAACAGCCTTGGAGCAAGGGCGGGCGAGCGGAACACGCGCAAAGCGAGAGAAAAAAACCAATCGCTGGTGAAAAAAAAGAAAAAAAGAAAAAAGTTTGTTTTTCCCCGGAACTTCCGTGCGCGTCACCCACAACTCATGCGTCACTCTTGTAAAGGACCGTAAAAAAAGAGCCGGGCCACGCCAGATAGCAAAAAAAAAAAAAAAAAAAAAAAAGAAAAAACGCGCGCTAGAGTCCTAAATTACGCGCCAACACCCGAGACGACTCCTCTGCCGCCCAAAGATACGACTTGCGGCCAGCATTAGCGAAGTAGTGAGCGTACCGAGTCGTTAGCGAATTTTTGGCCGCGACTCCAACGACATTCCCGAAACAGCTCCCCCGTCGCCCGACTTTCTAATTTCCAAGTTTCACGGGTGAACCGATCCTGGGAAAGTGTTGGAAACAAAGAGGTGCTTTTACTCCGAGCAGGAGCTTTCAGAGTTTCTTGCACGCAGCAGCACGTGACACGTGTACATTAATTAAATTGTTCGAGTGCGCGAGAGCATAAGTAAGGGGAGCCGTCGCTGTGTTTGCCAATGAGCTCAAAACCTCGGTTTGGCAGAGCAAAGAAAAAGATGCTAAATTGATGTCGCGCTCATGTGGAGCACTAATATATTCAGGGGACTTTTTTTTCTTTTTCCAAGCCAACCGTATCCTCTTTTTGTACCTCGTAAAAACAAGACAGGGACAAAATTCTTTGAAGATTTTGAACAGGGTCGCGAGTTCACCACGTATCGCGAGGACGGCTCGGAGGGATGTGGTTAAAAATTTAGCTGCACTCCCCAGCGCAAACATTCGACACGACCGACATGGCGGGGCTTCGTTGATGATGATAATTATACGATTATTATATTCTACCAGAGACTGCAGTTTTTATTTAAAATATCAGTACGTGCAGCTGTTTCATAAGAATTATGTGGTGAATACATAAATGACAAATGTTAAGAATATACTGCACTAAATTTAATTTTTAATTTAAAAATGACAAATTTTAAATTATGATCAGAGCCCAATGGTTCGTCTTACCTTACTTGTCTGTCTCTACTTGACTATTTCTTCCGGGATATTCTGTTTGGTTATAGATAAAGATTAAATCCAACCAATTAAAAATAAAAAAAGACTGAAACAATATATTTTCATTAATAAATAAAACACGTATAACTGTGCCTCGAGATCAAAACAAACGCTGACTCAATCAATATCCATTATAAAGTTATCAGGAGGGGGATAGGTATATTTTCACCTGCCTGGCAATTCCTCGAGGTGTTCGCGCACCCCGTCAAGGAAAGAAGATGATGAAACAACCCCCCCCCCCTATCCAAGGAGGTAGGTGGCGCGTGAGCCATGACCGGAATTATAATTAAAGTAATTTCCTCGCTGCAGTGCCCCTGGACGAAGAAAGAGGGGGTAGCAAGCGTCGGGGGGCGCGGATGCGAGTGACGTGAATGCCGCTCGGGTTGCTTACCCTCTCTCTTTCCCTTCGATCAGCAGCTTCTTGTGTAGTAGTGATACAGCCACCGGAGCCAAAACTCTTGCAGCCAAACGGCACAGCAGGAGAGCAGCAGCCGGGGGTGTACATAAGTTTACATAAGTTAGCGCGTGGCCGTGGTGCACTAAATTATATGCAAGTATCGTGTCTCTATGCGCGTGTACTCCTCCACCCTCGCGACCATATGTAGATACTTTTATGCAGAGTCCGGCTAGCTTGTGTTGGCTACGTGCAAAATTACTCGCGGCGCCTCGACGAATTTTTTGCCCATCGGCGTATCGACCGAGTTATTTTTCGACCGTTGGTCTTTTTTTTTTCGTTTTCCTTTGCAACGCTCCATCAGCGCCGGCCACAAGTTTAATTAAAAATCACACGAGCGGGTGAGCCCGGGAACTTGATGGCTCGTACGGTAGTTGGCCACCCCCGGGGCATGGCCTCAAAATTATAATATTACACAACAGGCCAAAATGGCCCATCATCAGAACGCCCTGTATACCGTTGCTGCTGCTGTTGTTCCGCATCGGCCATTAGTCCCCTGCTCCCTGCCTTTTTGGGCCACACGTGCGCCGCGTCCATAACTTTTAACTTCCCTCGTTACACGTTACACATAGGTCGTACATGGGCGTGCACGCACGTGCACCAACTGGGCGCGTGGGGGTGCAGAGCTCGCGTCGCTATTAGGTAAACTGTTACATGTATATACGCTGTAACTTCCGGACTGTGAGTGGGTATGCGTGCGTGAACACGTGTAACAGAGTGCCCTCGGGGTTCTTTTGTTTTTCTTCCGCGTTTCGGCTCGGGATTTTCCGCTTCCAGAGGATTTGGGGCCTTCCGTCGCTAGTGCGTTTTTTTTGGTTTTTTACGAGGCTCTGGCGGTGTCGCGGAAGTGTTCGTAGCACGCGATAACGAACGCAAAAGCCCGAAACGAGCCGCTGAATTTCTTTGTTTTTTTTTTCCACCGCCACTGCTGCACACGAGGGTACAACAAAGCTTTTTATTGCGGGAGTTAATTTTTTTTCGAGCGCCAAACTGTTGGGGCTGCAACTCTCCCGAGGACTCTCTCGACTTATTATGCCATTTCTCGCCGGACCAGATTTTCCCGCTCGGCACTGGTTTCGGCTACTCGAGCTTTGTCCGATTAATTTCATTGTTTGACCCCATGGTTTGTTTCCTCCCCCTCTTCCTGCGACTAGATAATTATTTCGTCCATGACTTTGCTCTTGTTGGAACAATATCCAGTAAACAAATAATAATAATAATAATAATAATCCATTTTTTAGTACTTGGAACAAAATCACATGATATGGGTGCATTTAAAACTATACTGTTGTATGATGATTCATGAAGTAATTAATGAAAAAAGCTAATGGACTATTTTCAAGTCCGCTGCAACCCCATGCATGGCATTGATTTTTCGGCAGTCTGATTGAATATAGTTAAAAATAAATTAATTTTTAAGCTACACCGTATACATTTGACACACTTGTTTGACAGATGATTGTATTGTATACTATACCACGTATGGGTAACAATTGTAATGAAAATTTCAATATGTTTAAACAGTAATCCAAACGCGGCGGAGCACAGCCACGGCAAGAACGAGGCCGTATTGCCAGTAACCCGAGAAAAGAGTCGTTTTCGTGGCATCACGTGGGAACAGTACTCCCCCGTGCACCAGAAATACTTGGAGATCGGTATGATAAAAAATTATACCATTTGCCTCAGATGTTAATATCGTATGCACTACATGCCAACAATACGCCTTAAGCAGGTCTCAAGCCAAAGATGAAGAACCACTTTCGGGCGCACCAGCTGTCGGTGTGGCTGAGGCTGGTGCCCGACCTCCAGCGGGCGGGTATGGTGGACGTCGAGCCGCGGCACAACTTGTTCCGAGGCTATGCCGACCCGAACCTCTACGACGGCCTCGTGAGGCCCGACCCCCTCAGCAGGGTAGCCGGTCCCACCGAGACCGCCACCTCCTCTGCCCGCTACCCCAGGAACTCGACGACCGAGGCGCCCACGACCACCGACTACAGCCTCACCACCTGCGTCAGCCTCATCCAGAGCACCAACATCCAGAACATCCACAACGCCAGCACGGACACCCTCGCCAGCCTCGACGCCGCCGGGTAAGCTGCCAACTCCCCGAGCGATTACTTATACAAAGTCCGCGAGTTAAGTTAGTTGATTTAAATTGACTCTGTATGAGGAGCCCCTCGAGAGAGGGAGTCCGGGTGAAAAATTAACTAAGCCACGCCCGAGGTTTCATCAAAACTTTCACTCGACTCTCGTTTCGTCGGCTACAGGAGAATACGATGATCCACCCGCGCGTAAAAAGTTCAAACCCCGTCCGAGGTTTCGCGCCTCGATCTCGCCTTGTGATATACTGCCTACGTGTACGGTACAGGTGGGGCAGCGCTGCGCTTTTTTGTTCACGCGCCGGGCGCCCCGATAAAATAACGTTGCCGATTTATCAAGTCCCCCCTGTATTACAGGTGCAATAACGTCCCTCGCCTCGGAAGAATTATATCGCTTCTCCTCCTCCTCCTCCTTTCTTTCTGACCCCCATGTATACGCACAGTGGACAACTATTGTTACCTACACGATTCTAAAAAAAAAAAAAAAAAAAACTATTTCATAGAGTCGCGGTATCATTAATTCGGCCATTGACTTTTCGGTTGTTTCACTTCAATCAAAATTGTTAGAACGAATGAGTTGAATTAGCGGTTTGATATAGGCGTGCCTTTCCGTTGACAAACTTTTTCGTTTTTGTTGCTGCTTTGGCCGTTGCTCTCGAAACGGGGGCAGGTACGCGGCGTACTCGACGGCCCTGAGCGTGACGATAGCGATAGGCTGCAGCCTGCTGATACTGAACGTCCTGATATTCGCGGGAGTGTACTACCAGCGGGACAAGACGCGCCTCGAGGCCAAGAGCCTGCAGCAACAGCAGATGATGAACCAACAGTGTGGGCCCCGGGGCTTCAACGAGCTCAAGCAGCCACCCCCGCCCCCACCGCCCCACACGCACTACCCGGTTGGCGGTCAGGTGATCGTCGACGTCGAGAACGAGATGCTCCGCAGGTGGGGACGAATCGATAAACCTACGTGGTGCATGATGCGTCCAATCGGACAAATATATTTACTAACAAAAAATAAAAAACATTGACTCGCAGGAACGTGGTGAAACAGATGGCCCCGGGGGAGACGAACATGCTCCTGCAGCAGACGCAGATGACGCACACGCTGCCGCACCCGCACCACTACCAGAAGCAACACCAGACCCAGCACTCGACGCTGCCTCGGGGCTCGGTGCTGCCCGACATAAGCAGCACCCAACAGAATCAGGTAAGGGGGTTCTACACCCAATAATGTACAACCCATCCCGTAAAATCATTCCATCTCTCTCTCTCTCTCTTTCTCACGAGGACATCGCTCTTACGTTCTGTTTCTAGATACGGAAGGAAACGCTTTGGGCCCTTAGTGTATAGTTGGATAATGCGACCAAAAAGTAAATAACACTTTCATTCTCACCCTGTGCTTACCTATTCTTTTTTTTTTCGTTTATTCTTACACTGCTTTCCTCGTTCATTATCCGTAAAGTACACTTTGTTTCTGAATTGAGGTTTTTTTTTTTTTTTCCATACATATTTCACAAATTATTTTTCCATGCGGATACCTACACAGAATAGCTAAAAGTTGGTCCGTCGCGGGTACAACGACAAATTTATCCGCTGTTTGTGCAGTATGACTTTGTTTACGAGAGTTTCCTGTGTATCCAAAACTTTCGTATACAAACGAAATCGCTGTACACTGGGGCTCAATTTCGAGCGTACGTTTTTTTTTTTTTTTTTTTTACAAGTATTTCTTGCAAACACGATTCGAAACTCTTTTATACTTCATTTTTTTTTTTTTTGCTCGTCGTGCGTCAAACGGATAAGCATCAACACGTGGAATCGAAAAATATATGTTGGTGTACGAGTATACGTGTTGTTCAACGTGAAAATAAAATGAGACTCCATGTATCAAAGAACTTGTTGACTTCCGTAACGAAAAACAATGTCTGACAAGGATCACTGTCGACCTGCCAAATTCCAAAAAACCTTACGGAATATTTTCCGGGATACTGCAAAAATCCGTCAATCTGACGTTATAATTTTCATGAGAGCATGAATTTCATCATGTTTTCTGTGATTTAAATTTGATGGATGAATATTATTGACACCCCCCAAAAACAGAAATGCAACCCTTACAACCTGACAAATTTTGATGAAAGCAAAAAAAAAAAAAAAATTGCGAAAAGGATCGACAAGTCAAAAAAGTTTTTTCCTAGATAAATTTCGCGGCACTTTTGTTGAATTCGACAGATCGGACGTGTTCCTTGCGAGTACAGAGAGAACCGGGGTAGATTAAAATGTCTCAAATGGATTTTCTCCAGGTATATGGGAAAAACAACGAAATAATGTCTTAAAAGAAAGACGTGAGCTGCAGTCGTTGATGATGGGGTTTCAGGGACCGAACGGCTCGATCTACTTGGCGGTGCCACGAGCACCACCACCACCGCGAGCCAAGAGCCCACCGGAGAACCAGCCGCTGTTGAATCAGTGCACCGCGAATAACCGGGTCCAACATCCCATGCACATGAGCGTCGACAGTGAGATGCGCGTATGATACTTCGATGCCTCTCCCGAGCCGCTGATCGCCGACCTCCTTACTGCCACGACGCTCCTCTGAGTGCACTGCCAACTGGATGCTTACTCTTAAGGAAACTCGATCAACATTTTCTTTGGATTAATTTTTTTTTTTTTTTTTCTGATCATTAAAGCAATCGACTAATACAAACTGGATTTTTAGTGCAACGCATTTAGATTAACTCTAGTGCAATTTATTTTTTCGAAACAAAGCAATGACTGGAGGTAGCACAGAGAGTCGAAGAGAGGGCGTGTATAATAAAAAAAAAAAAAAAAAAGTGTTGGGGTGAAAGAAAAAATTCCTGGCCGAGTGGTGAGAAGACATTAAAAATCGCGTTATACATAATTATTTTATAGGTGAATGAAAATTGTATGCGTATTCGTAAATTGATAACGAGATTGTATTTTTATGCAAAATATATATATAGCTGTGTATAACGATGATATATGTTTTGCGTAAATATATATGTATACGTTGCCGCGTGTATAAGGGAAAAATAAATGTTTTTACGTGAGATCAAATTATTATACATATTCGGACATGAGTATTGTTTTTCAATTGTTATGATCATTCGATGATTTGTCATACTTACGAAATAGGATGGAAAAACTTTAAGAATTTGGTTGACAATTTTCGTAATTGGTATAGACGTAAGCTAGACTAAATCATCTCAATTACAAAAATATTTATGAGAAAAAAGCGTGAGTAGAAAAGACTGTATCGCGTTTCCGGTGGCCAAAGCTCTGCGGGCAATCATTAGACCATAATAGTTTTGTTCCTTTTGTAATATTTGTCTTTCGTCGCAGATCTTTGATTGTGGGAAACGTGATAAAATTATTATATTAATGTGTAAGTACGTAAAAAGTTGGGTAAAAGCAACGGATTTCGGGTAAATTGCTCTTCCCGTCCGACATTTGATTTACAAAAATTATATGGTGAAGTGCGATGAAACTTTTCGTCTTCCGAGCGTGAATTGAGACAAAACTGAAAATGGAAATTATTTGAACTCTGCAAATTTAAAACAAAAATAAAATTTTCATACAAAAGAGCAAATGAATAAATAAATCTTTGGTGGAAAAGATTCAGATGTCCAACTGCACAAAACATAGATTCTTTGTAAGATTTTTAAAAAATTAAAATTTATAACTTGAGCACCAGACGTTCCTCAAAAGTATAAAACAAGAAAAGGACAAGACTTTACTGTTTATTACATGAAATAAGTTAATTAAAAATTTGAAATTAATTATAAACAAATACATGATGAAAAATCTTACTGACTGAGTCAATACGTCAAAGGGATACATTGCTTATGATATTTAATATATTTTTTTTTTTTTTTTTTTTTTTTTTATCTATCGAAATAAAGCATAGATGACTATTAAAGAAAATTTTTATGCGACATACTAAACCACGGTTACGAGGTTTTGAGACTTTTAGAAAATAATTTGACTGATAAACGTCTGATTTCATTTTTGTAACTGTGTCTAATAAGAGTAAAATATGAGGAAAATTCTACGCCCAATAAAAAATAAAAATTTATTTTTTAATAAGATTTGTTGACTTACTGATTACGCATACCATGACAAAAAACTTAGAGGTGAGCATAAAATAAACAAGTCGTAAATTTTTTAAAAATTGCAGCAGAGAAGTTAATTACTTTTTATGATATGATGTTAAAAGATTTGTGTACAAAACGTCAATGCGATTTGCTAAATTAATGTCGAAATTTATTTCTAAAAATAACAATTCGATGTAAAAAGTTTTCACGCTCAAACGTCTTATTGTATACAAATATAAATATAATAATTATTTAGAATGTAATAAAAAAGAAAAACATGATGAGAAATCTATACATATTAGTGGAAGAAAACAAAAGTGGAATGAAATAAATATAAAAGCCGAAAGCGATTAAATTATTATTAATTGTTATAACCATTGATAAAGTACTAGTTGTTATACAGTCCGAATGTTATAAGCCGTGCGCCGTATATCTGTAAAGCGAAGGAAACGATAAGGACACGCGCAATTTAAATGATTCCAAAAAAAAGTAAAATTTGAGAAAATGTGAATATATCATTATACATGGACAATCTGATGAAATATTAATATATAATATGTAAATTGCGTGCATTCATCAAAACATAAATTTACAGCGAAAAAATATATAAGGAAGTCCGATAAAAGAAGCGGTGCAATCCATAGAAAACTTATCAAAAAATAAAAATTGCAGTTTCTCGCAATAAAACTTGTCTTTCATATTTTTCTGTTAGCTTTGCCGATCATCATCTATTGTTTTCGTACTATATTTAAAGTCAGCTGTATTTATCCCATTATGAATCTTAAAAAAAAAATAAAGATATTGCTAATCTTGAGTAACATTAAGTAAAACAATGCTATTCATAAACCAAAGTTTTTCTCCAGACAATTAAATTCATTACATTGTATTTTTCTTTCAAACGAAGAAGAATTAAAAAAAACTTACCAAAAAGCATCACTCATGATTTATACAGTAAAACTGTTAAAATAAGTGTTGAAAAATTTCATTAAAAAGATTTTTATAAAAATTTTTAAATAAACCTACTATACAAATTAGTTAATTGTAGGTAGAATTCAAGAGTTTTTTTACGAACGTACTAAAATTGGTATAAGCTTTTGAAATGAGATTTCATAAAGATTAAACAATGCAATTGATTGGATTTGAAGGATAAAAAATTAAACCACTAAAGGCAAACGATGTAGGAAATGCAAAATATTTATTTGTGTTGATAAAATTTCTTCGAAATCATACAAATGTTGTAATCTGTCAATTGAATACAATTCATACGTACGATCATAGTATTTTTTTGTTTTTTGTTAAAAAATACATCAGACTGTTTTTTAGTATTAGATATAAAATTTTTTTTTTTATTACTGAACAACATGAGGTCCTCCAGTCTTTTAAATGATTGAAGAAAAAATAGCAGAATAAAAGTAAATATACTACTGAGCACGAACAAGAACGTATATATATATACATAAAGAAAGAAGAAAAAGTTTAAAGCGTGTAAAATAGACTTGGAATCATCTAAATAAAAGACTGCTGTACACTGAGCAGAAAAAAACTCGTGTGAAAGAAGATTTCAAAAACCAAAGTGTGGATAAATTGTACCAATGTTATTTGATACCTATATGTTATGTTATTTTCGGAAATAAAACATTGTTAATATGCGCTTGTTTCTGATCAATAATTCTGCGCATTATGTATTGCATATGAATGACAAGATAAAAGCAAGAAAGCGAGTGATAAGTGTTAACGAGAAGGTGAAAGAGCGAGTGAATTATTGATATTAATAAAAAAAAAAATTAATAAAAAAATCAAGAGCAGGACACAGAATAAATACCTACATCGATTAAGCGATTTTTCTGTTGTCATACTTGTAAATATACATGGAATAATTATTGTAAGCTCTAATGTTGTTTATTAAATCCCCACATTCATTTCAGACTAATGCCATAATATTTTATGTATGCAAATGAGGTCCGTCAACTTTGTCTATTCGATCAACAATATTGAATATCTAGATTTCACCACATTATTTTTGTACAAAAAAAGTTAAAAAAATACCTCTTACGGACAACAAAATTTTTTTTTTGCAAATTTTTTACTTAAATGGATATGTTTTAAATAACTAAGCAGTACCAGTAAATCGCATAAAAATAAAATATAACATGATTAATCCCAAAATTTAATTTAACTTCATACTCAATACCACATAATTAGATCATTGTCACGTTAAAAACAATTTTTATCGGGAATTTCAATTGATAAAAAATTAAGAAGACTGAAACATTGATCTCTCATAATGCATTAGCTATCGTATAATATTTTTATTGACTAACACAACAGGCAGTGTAATCCTTGTGACATTAGATCAATAAAGCCTCGGAAATCTACACTTACATCCATGGCAGAAGCATGTAAGTATAGTACGCCTACATACATGTGGCCACGATACACATAATTCGTTATTGTTGTCTGAATTCGCAAACTTTGAAAATTTTTACATATTTTTTTGCACTATATTTGTATTAGCTCACTTATAAATAAGTTTTTACTTCATATATGAATTCCCAAAAACAACATAAAATGTACTTACCTACATAGTAAACTTCTGCACTAACAACTGTCGATGATACATTGGATTACTTATAAAGTACCATGAGGATATAGGAATTCTTACATCTCCTATGATAAGTATGTATGAAAGTTTTATTGCACACATTTCAGATAATTGTAAAACATAATAATACATTGCACAGCAGGTGTACACTGCATGGAAGCAGATTAATTCGTTGAGCTGAAAGTATAAGATTTACCAATGGGAGAGGTTATGTCATTGAATCAGCCAATAGGGATAAGATGTTTCGATTTTTTTAACTCAACTTTAGTACACACTCCGTGATACACTCATCGATTCGTTACGCGGGAAATTCAAATATGAAATTCCTGATGGCTAATAAGATAAAATGAGCTTTCTCAACGAATCGATATCAGAACAGTGCACAAGCATATTGATTATGTGAAAAAAGAAGTTACATATTATAAACCTATTGTTTATACAAATCATTGGAAAAAAATTAGAATTAGAATTTTCCGAAAGCTTTTTAAATATGACGGCTGATGAGCTGACACTTTTTTCTACAGTACCCTTCCTCGGTAAGCTTTACCAACAGTTCCACTACCAACATATATGTTATGATGTGTGAAAATTGATACATTTTCCTCTCCACTTTAAGGTAAACAAATTTTTTTTTCAAATATTAAAATTGCTGTTACCCATTGAAATAATAAACTGGTAACTTATTATTTTTTTGTAGCTTTCATAATACGTAATTAGATCCGTACATGTGTCATGTCATATAATATATTTATTACATTGACTAACAGTACATGCCAAGAATTCTTTTTTTTTTTGCTTTGTAGAATCACCTTTATATAG